AACATGACTTCAATTCTAACTTTTATAAACGTAGATTGCGTTATATCCAAAATGTTAACCAGGTTTTCAAGAAAAGATTTCGCCAGGAATATCTGGGAACTTTGAAAAAACAACAAGCAAAAAATTCGCTAGCTAGAAGTTGTAAATTAAAAGAAGGAGACATTGTCTTAATTGGAAGCGATGACAAAAGGAGATTAAATTGGCCTCTTGGTAAAATCATACAATTATTTCCAGGTACCGACGGTGAAAGTCGACGAGCCAGAATTAAAGTGCAAAATGGAGAAGTCATAAGAGCTGTACAAAATCTTTATCCTTTGGAATTATCGACTGCCGAGGAACTTCCATCGAAATTCAGCGGAAGTCAACGATGCGAAAATATTTCGGTAGAGCAAACTCCAATTGATGATGTACCTGTAGAAACAAATACAGTTAAAAGTCGTTATAGGACCGTTGGACTCGCGATTCCATTATCGATTTTCCGGATTATGATCTCAGTTTAAACTGGTAAATGGCATGCAGAAATTAAAATTAAAATAAATGTATTATGAAATAAGACAATTTGTCTAAAGGGTATAAAATTTACAAATAAGCTAATATTATTTGTTACTTTATTAAACATTTCTTTCAATGTAAGTTTGTTTTAAGTTGCCGTTTATCTGATAATACTTTCTCTGTAATTCTATAAACAGACATAATTTCTTGTTCAGTTACAAAGTTCCGCTGTTCAAGTTTCAATCGAAATTGTTTCGTTTTCAATAACCTCTGTGTCACTTTCTTCACTATCGGAAGCGAATTATAATGACGAGGAATTTGATTTAAATCATATCATAGACGGAGTACATCGAGATGAAATACTACATTTAGTCAGGAATTATAAGCCAAATAAAATAAAAACATCTGCCCTGAAGATAGGAATAGTGCTGACAGATCAACTTCCAATTCATTGCGTGCCGCGGCCCCCACACCGCAGAGCAGCGTGAAATTGATAAACAGATTTCGGAATGGTTAGAGAAACAAAGGATATGCCTTTATCCACCTTTTGTTTGATGGACATCGAAACATACTTTCGCTTTGTAGACCTTTGGAGCTCCAGCATCGGAATCTATTTGACATTAATCGAAAGTTCAAGCTATTTTAAAAAATTGCTCTAACAGTCGCAAAAAATATAAGCTGGATCCAATTAGAAGATTAAGGAAAACAACGCAATCTGCAACATTAACTGAAAGAGATAATTAGATAATTTTAGCTTATACTATCCGTTATACATTAAACGTGCATGCGGAAACGTATTATGCGCATGCGCACATGCATATTTGCAGCCGAAAAGGTCTTACGCGCATACTTCAACGCATCGCATGTGCAGAAAGTTTGTAGCTTTTCATAGATCATTCCGGATTATGGGTGTCTGAATTAACAACTTTTGACGGTAGAATAATCCATACCCATTTAAAATCGCTCACGATAACCAAATCAGGAAGGACAATTAAAGTTCCTCATAGATTAGATTTGTGAGAACAATGTTTAATTTTTTATTATTTTGCAATACTAGATCCCGAATTTCATATTGCAAGGTGGGAGGATGAACAGTATTTTGACTCTTAATATTTTTGTTTACATTTTTTTTTTTCTAACTGCAGCTTCTGAGTAATATTGCATGAGCTCCAAGCAGATGTAATCGTTTTCTTTATGCTATAGGTTTTTTTTTAAAATTTATTATCGTTTTCTTTATGCTATAGGTTATTTTTTATTTGTACAGTTTATGTTTCAGAGAGTGGCAATATACTATGCTCTCTTTTTTTAGAAAGTTAGTGTAACTTTTCTCATTGAGAGTATGAGTAAAGGAATTATTTAATTATTTGTAGAGTCATAAATAACTAAAGAGATATAGATAGTTATTCCGAGTAATAAAATAGTTCTTGAGTGTAAACAAATTGTGAGAATTTTTGAACAGAATTTTTATCTATTTAAACTGTGCAACTGATCTTTCTCATTCAGGTTTCCTTTGCTTTTCTGTGATGTTTAATTGTAGATATGGGCTAACAGATGGTTTAGTTGTCCACATTTCTGCCAAATATACAAGAATACGTAATGTAGCATTTCCGCGCGCTTTTCAGAGCTCAAGATTTGGCAGGTAGTGTTTGGCGAGCAAGATAATATATTCCTGATGATATTTCCGACACTGATAGTGTTCGACTCTAATTTCACAGTATATTGAAGATAGTTTAGCGAAAACTGATGAGAATTTATGGTCCTCTGCAGATAGTGATGAATCTGAAAAATTCAGTTTCTATTGAAAACGTTCGACAGTGGTGAAAAATTTATATAACAAATATACATTATGCAAATATTTTCATCAGTATATATGTTTTACCTTTGTATTTTATAAAATAAATCATAATTTAACCAATATTAATTTTCAAAATTTTCCTTTTATATCATTATTCTTTAATTTCAGTATTCTGACAACCTTTTTCTATGATTTAATTTTATACTGGAAAAAAACTCTTTTACAAAAAAAGTTTGTATATTTTAACTTTAAAATATATGTAGATTTGAAACGTGTAATAAAAAATATATGCAATTTTTTAACCTATTTTGATTTTAAAAAAGTATGCAGTGAGAGGGTTAAGTTATCTTTTGGTATTTTGCTCTTGTGAATTTGTTAGGATAGTTTTTCTTTCTAATTTCAGACCTTGCACCTCGAGAGGTTTAGAAGGATTTGAAGACAAACTTAGACTTAAATTCCAAAAAAAAAAATGTGTTAAACAGAAAAATGTCTTCATGGTATTAACGTGTAATGGACATGTTTTATAGGAAATTTGGGATGAATTTCTTATCTTCAGGTTTATTTTCTTAGATTTTCACCAGACACAAGCATTAAAGCAAGCAAAGAAATCGAAAACCAAAAATTGTTTTACAAATTTCATCTTATATCTCTGTGCTTCCTATGCACACCTCAGTGTCTGTCCTAAATTCTAAAGCTTTTCATTAAATTCTAAAAATTCTGCTACAGTGTGTCTGGCACGGGCTATGACCTTATACCATTTCATATTTATTCGCAATATTCACATAATTAAAGAAATAAAATTAGCAGTTTCTTCTACACATTCTAAGTACAATTTGTTTAAAATAGCAGAAACCTTTAATTAAATCTGAAAACTCTAAAATGAAGGAAGAACTCAAGAATAAATTTATTTCATAAAAGAGAGAAAAGTGTTCTTCAAAGTTACATCATTGAAACATTAACAGATCAGAAGACGAATGTGAAAAAAATAAATTTAGGAAAGATGCTAAAGAGAAGAAAACTGATGTAAATTATATAAAATATCTGGAAAATTTTCAAATTAAAAAGATGCGTAAATATTTTGTTGTTGATTGTTGCTGCAAAATATAAACATTTTGTAGCTTTTAATGTAAAATTAATAATATGAATTTAGAATCACTTTAATAAATTGTAACTGCTGTAAAATGTTCTTAGTACTTTTTGATGGATATTTTTTAGAAATAAAAAAATGTATAATTGTAACCATGTAAATTTCGTATGACTAAGGATATCTAACAATGTAATTTAATTATTTGTAAGTAACTGCTCATTATTAGAAGTTATCTCTGCATGTTAAAGTGAGTTACCTGCCTTTCATTAATCCTTATTGTGGATGCAAGATGCAACACAAAAATGTAAACATAAAACTTTATTCCTTACACCTAGGGAGACTTAAAATAACAGAAAACAATCTTTCACCTCTGGTGCATCAGCTGTTTATTGGAACTTAATATTAGATACTGTATATCAACCGGGTTACAACCAAATCTGCGTGAAGCTATGACCATAACCGAGTCAAAGTGAAGCTAACATTCAGCACATTCCAACCGTGCTGTCAGGCATTTACATCTGTTCTGACCAGTGACTCCCTGTCTCCAGACAAGCAATTATGGTGGCAACAGCCAAGCTTTTATTACAAGTCATGCTGATTATTATTTTACTTCTCATTTTAACTTATGCCACACATTAGATATGCATAAACCTTTGGACAGAGTAACTTCATGACAAAGTGAAGAATAATAGAAAGAATCAATGTAAAGCTAACTGTTAATAAAATTCAAATAAAAAGTTACTGATCTTTTTTTAAAATATGTGAGACTGTTACAAATGTAAAATATAAATGTTTCTAGATATTTTTTTTAATTTAATGCTAATTACCTGAAAAACATTTATGAAGTTGATTTTGTTTTTGAATTTGTTTAATAATTCAGTTAAATATTACATTATGTTTGATCATAATGCATCCTACTTACAGATTTATTATATTGTTACAAATTGCAAAAGGGAAGTTCGGATGTAGATAATTGCTCTAGTTTATTCAGTTCCTATTTGCTGATAGGTCCTTAATTTTTTTCATTGATGATTTCATTGATTCAATTCATCCTTAAAAGTACTTAATTTCCACATGCATAAATGTGTACAAACTGTGAACTATGTTATAACACAGCATTAATTTTGCAGATAATCGATAAAAATACAAAATAAAGGAATTTAATTTAGAAATATTGAATTAGTTATCAGTAATGCGTAATCATAAAAAATGAAATATTTTCATAAAAGTTATAAAATAATATATTTTTGTCTGTACATGTATGCATTGACAGTATATAGGTAGTAATTAATGCAAACACTCAAGCTTATGAAGAATTTTATGCCCATTAATGAAATGTTAATTAATAATGATAATGTTCAATAAAAGTTGATATACTATTATTAAATTGTAATAGAATTGGGAAAAGATAGCTACAAGAAATAAATCTTTAAATCAAAAGTCAGGCTGGTTTTTAAAAATGGTAAATAAGCCTCTATCTGTACTCTTATTATGTTCCCCCCCCCCTAAATTGCTGTAAAATGTTAAAGAAAATGAGCAAAAAATATTAATAGCTGTTGTTAAATTAATAAAGTCTTAACATTTCTTGTATTTGTACTAATTAGCAATATTTATTACATTTTTCAGACTTTTCAAAGCGTCATAAAGATGAAAATGCAGTTTATGAGCAAGTAGAAAATATCTCAAATCCATTGAGATGTCCTGTAAAATTGTATGAGTTTTACATGTCAAAATGGTAATTACATTGCTTCTGATTGTTGATTCTACGTTGAATGATTTATGCATTTTTTAGTTTTTATTTCATAATTTGGAAAAGGTAAAATGGAGTTTTCTAGTTATTTATATTTTCTGTGAAGATAAAAGCATTATTATTCATATAATTTTTTCTTATATACCTGGAATGCCAAGAATTTGTTCTGTAAGAATTTTAATGTGCTATGTTTAATTTTGGGATAATAATCAGTTTTTCTAATTTTGAATGCTTTAAGATGGTAGAATAAATTTCATTAATGCAGTCTTCATTTAAATTATACTTTAGTTACGTTCCAATTAACATATAAGTTGTCATGTGCTTACAACTCATACAGTATTATGCTTTGTACCAAATCGGCTTTCAGTTTTAATTATTTATCAAAGCAAGACTTACAATGTATATGTAAATTAATTCATTCTAGAATATATCTAAAAATGTATATTTACTTTTTAATCTAAGCATATATCTAAGAATTTAATGTGTGTATGTGTGCCATAAATTGAATAATTTCATGAAAAATAGTCTGGCATCATTCATTGTTTTATTTTCTGCAACTGATTTATTTTTCAACATACTATTTAAATATTTTTTTTTCTTTTCAGCCCAGAGTGTGTTAAAGTGCGAAATGACATATTTTACCTTTATCCAGAAAGATCATGTGTCCCTGATAGCCCTGTCTGGTATTCAACGCAACCTCTTGGTCAAGAGATCATTGCCAAAATGATCCAGAGAATCAAAATTGTTCGAGAAATAAATGAAAATTGATTTCTCTGTTTTATTTATTTTATGTACATTTTCATATTAAAATTATATTGAGGGTCTTTGCAATTAATCTATTTATAAAAGTTTTTAGGATGTGGTTTCACAGGCAATAATTTTATTGGCAAGTGTAACTAGGAAGTTCTTCTGACTGTGAAATCAATTTTTCTAAAAAAAAATATGAATAAATCTACTTATTTAGAAATACATAGTATTAACAAAGCTCTTTGCTAATATTTTTAAATTCTTTGTTCACTAATGATGAACTACCGACGAATTTGTGTGTGTTGAACCTTCTGATGAAATTTTGTAAAATCTCATAAACAGCACTGCATTGTCTATAATAGATTTCAATATCCTATTCACATTAATTTAGAAATGAATTTTTTGACATTATGTTTTCCTAACTGAGCAAAAATATTTATATTTTTTGTGCATTGCTGCTTTCATATAATTCGAATATTTTATTGTAAAACTTAATCAGTTTTATTGTAAAACTTAATCAGTTTTACAATAAAATTCAGTCTGCACCGACTTGAAATCTAACTTGAAATAAGGGGAAAACATAGTTGACTTTACACCTAAAAAAGAAAGCTATAAAATTAACTGCTAAATTTCTGTAGGTGTAACAAAAATTTTAAAAAAAAAAAAAAAAAATGTCTTAGTCACCAAAGGCAAATTTTCTTCTCAGGACTTGCTGCAAAAAGTACAAAATTTATTCTTTTATATTATTCATAATAGTTCCTTCCCTGTACAATATTATCTTTTCAGACATTCCAGAAATGAAGTTTAAGTATAATTTTATTAATTATTTATTTTGTATTTAATGTGACAGATTCACAGTAAAAGTAGAAATTTATTTAGTTTTATTTTATGTTCTATATTTTTATAATTAATTTCTGTATAATAAGTACATTACATTACTTATTACAGAAATTAATTATAAAAATATAGAACATAAAATCATAAAACTGTGTTACAAAAAAATTATTCTGAATAAATTAAATGCAGGTTTGCATGTTATTTTCAAATTAAATGAACAAAAATCATATACAAATCTATAGGAATTTCTTTCTTTTTGTAACCTTATTAGATCAAAAGAATATCTGCATAGTGTTTGCCTTGCAAAACATTGCAGCCTATTCCATGAAATTAATTATAATCGAATTTTTTGCAATGAGCTTGATTGAGAAAGTCTGAAAAGTGGAGAATTGGGTTAAACTTTTAATTTTAAATTTTGTCTTTATGTGGAAGTATAAGTACAAAAAATGTGGTCTGGATATTGTTTCAAAATAAAGCAGGAGACATTTGAAATTTATAGATTTTAACCAAGAGAACATTAAACTGAAAAATCAGGTTTCTGAGATTTTTAAAAGAATATGAAAGGCCTTTTGAAAGGAGTAATATTTGTATCACACTAAAATAACTAAAAATATGACACTTCTTTTCACAGTAAAATGATTTTTGGAATTACTTGTATTCTGACCTAGTTTTTCAAGAATGAAATTTTCATCAGTTCTGTTAAACCTTTTGTTAAATCTGTATGTATTGACAGCCAAGATATGCTTGGTTTCACTTTTTATATCTTCATTCCTTATTTTATATTTTCATTACATAAATTGATTAGTTTAAATTCACTAAATAGCACTATATTACTAAATCTCATATTTTTTCAGCTTTTAACTGTTTATCTTTTGATAGCAGCCATTTTTTACTGTTATGCATTTCTAGACAAGTAGATTCATATATATTTTTCAGAAAAAATGAATGTTCAAGGTTGAAAGACCTTCCTTGTAAGTATAATTATTTATATATACAATGAAAGCACTATTCATTATCATCCTCAATAAATTTATTATTTGTCATATGTATTTTTAAAAGAAAAGAAAAGGAGCTTTCCGTATTCCGTAAAAGAATCGTATTTATAAATAAATACGATTCTTTTTAATCATATAAATTGGGCACAATATGGAAAAAAAATTAGAACAACATTGTGATGCAAATAATGCACATTAAGTTGATGCATATGAATATGGTAGAAAAATGAATTTGTTCTGTAGGAATATTTATTTAAAAAATTTATTTATTTCAAAAATTTTAAATAAAAGCATTTTTGGAATTTGAAAAATTGTTTTATAAATTTCTACTTTCTTTTTAATTTACCTACTGCAAACGAATTAGGAAAAAATTCCCCTGTTTTAATAAAATTCCAATAAAGAACAATTATAAATAGAAAGTTATACTGTATTACATCAAGTAATTGACATCTAGTATGTCAGTTAAGTTAGTTTGAAATTAGACTTCATATACATATATTTATTAATTTTTTTCACTAAGAATTTTAATGCATCCAACAGTACTTTTGTTATCACAATCATTTTTATCACTGTGCACATGTTTACTTTTGAAGCAAAGTTTTCAATTTGCTGTTATTGGGAATTTTCTGTTTTTACTTAACGAAAGTACAAGTGCCATCCGTTATCTTCATCATAGCAAAAAATGTCTACTATTTTATTTCACAGTGGACTATAAAAAATTCATATTTAATATCATCTGACATCAAAGGAATATTTCATTTCATTCTGTATATCTAAATCATTTCATTTAATGCTATCATATGTAAAATTTCATTGACACTTATATATAAATCATTTTTACTCTTAGTGTCATATTTTACTTGTATATATCACCCTGGAAACCGTGTCTATGAATCTGTGTGTAAAAATAAAACAAAAACATCATTAGTTTGTCAGACAGTTGAGACCCAAAATGTTAAAATGAAACTATATTACTCTGTACATTCTGTTATTACTGTGATTGTTTATTACGATCATCCTTTTTTTTTTTTATTTAAAAACTTTTAAGTCCTTTAGGATTGGATTTCATTTTCTCCCTTATGTATAATGTGTGTGTGTGCGTGGAGAAGGGGATTAAAATGCTTTTGCGATTAAATATTATTTTACAGCTTTGAGTTTTTCATAGAGAAAACAAAAATTGGTGTTTCCTGTCTACTCCATTTTTCTCCTGCGTGACACCGTAGAGCTTTTTTATTTAGTCTTCTTTATTTAAAGAAAAGTGTAATGCTTATAAATTAGATGAAAAGGTGTGAACAATTATAAGTTGCACGAGTTTTAAATCAGTATGACAAACTGATGGCATGTCAGTGAGCTTCTTCATGTCCATCCATTTTAATGTAATATAATGATCTTGAAAATGTTTTAATTTTGATGAAAATATACATTCTGACCTTTACAGAATTGAGTCCAACCTCTTTTCAATATCTGTCACTTCAGATGCATTGACTGTAATTAGAATGTGTAACCTAAGAGGTAAATTTTCTGAAGCCATGTATTCAATCAGCATTTGAACAAACTGTTCAGTTAGTGAAATTACGTCAGAAATTTATCCCTTAAATTTTATCTATGCAAAATATGCCAGATGGTGTGTATACTGAAACTTGCTATTCCATTTTTTATGAATGAAATAATCTGTAATGCTCCCTTTGGATAGTATTAAAGTTAATTTTTCTTGAATATATAAGTTGTGTTGTTTTTATATTTGTTGCACGTTATACACTCTCATACTCTTCAGATATATGTTGTGCAATAACTGTTACAAATCTGTTGAGAATATACATATATATTAGCAGTTTTCTCATGATACTTGAAATGTATCAAATTCTGCTACTATACTGAATGCTGAATTCGGTATATTTCAAAAAATACTCAATTGTAATGAAGTTTTTGCAGATTAACACTTTTAAGGTCTATAAAGATTGTTTTATTTACAGTGGTGGCCAAAATTGTGAACACTTTTGGAAATTTTTATGTTTTTGAACTTTGTATGCTTAAACGTTACGTTTCACAAAATGCAAACTTGTATATATAATTTTAAAGAGAATTTATTACTGAATTCAATACAAAACACAAAATTCAATTATTTGCAATACAAAAAAAAAGTTAAACGATAATAGTTATCGATATACATTAGATAGTGATGATTGCAGTGAGTTATCAGTATATAGTAGGGTAATCTTTATTTTTGATTACGGTTTCACATCGACGTTTCATTGAGCTGATAAGAGTTTTAACCCTTTGACGCACAGTGATCTCGCCCTGAAACCACCATTTTCCGAATTTTTTTTCTCCTCTTTTTTCCGAAAATTTTGAATGAAAATGAACTGATTACTGATCTTTTACATCTAAATAACACAAAATGACTGTAGAATCATACATGTTTTAGGTATTAATACTTCAGATCGGATGACTTTTAAAATTTGTTTTCGATGACACAAAATAACTTCCTTTTATTAATATAAACAACTTTAAATTTCAAAAGTTAGTCATTGCGCGTCATGATTTCTATCATAAGCAATACAAAATTGCAGTAATTAAACTGCATATATAAAAAAAAACCCTCTATATGTATGGCATTTGCTATGTGGTTTCAGGGCGCAACCACTGCGCCACTAGAGCATTGAGTCACAATGCTTACAATCCTCTAGAGGCTCGGTGGTCGCGTCTTGAGACCACTGGCGTTTGCTTCTCAATGGCATTCGCTTGCTTTTCAAATAGGAATGTTTATTTTTACCTGGATATAGATAAAGGGCTTTGAAACCACAGAGTTATTTTATTTCTAAACAATACATGCACCTGCTCAGTAAAAAGGTCTTTCTTTTCCAAATACCTTTCTCTGACATCAACACACTTGCTCCCCAAGCTAGTATTATGATTTTATAAATTATTTCTTGTGGTTTAAATTTAATGTAAATATACTTTGCTATAATTAAAAATAGAAATTGCATAAAAGTGTTATTTAAATTTAAAATATTTTCTGAATATTTTGGGACGAAATACGAATAAAATAAGTATGAATGGGAAACGAACGATCCGTACAAAGCCAAAAAGACCAAGATCCCCTCCCCATTAACATAAAAAACCACAAATTCCATGTGCCAAATGAAAAACTAAATAACGCTGGACATATACCAGTGAAATTTAAATCCAGGCAGTGTACATTTTTACAAGGAAGAAACTTCGTAGAACAAGATGTATATGCGAAACGTGTAGTGTGGGGTCTATGCATGTGCCAAAAAGACAAAACATGCTTTGAACAGTATCACAAAAAAAAATGTGTTCTTTGAAATTAAAAAAAAAACACTGAGTTCTTTTTTATCCTTATTTTATTGAGTTTTTTTAATCCATTTATCCAAATGTCTTTATTATGTAGGTACTTATATTTTTACTGCTATAGAAAAATTACATAAATGTTTATTTTTTAATTTTTTCTGATTATTTACTTTGTAAAATAACGTAAAAAAAATTATATATAATGCAATTATTACATACATTTTTTTTTTAAATCTGTAAAGTTCGTCATTTATTGGAAACGCGCGCGGAAAATGGTAAGTTTTTTCCCCCCTACTATATCAGTAAGTTTCAAAGTCCTAGACGCGCAGTGGTTTCACAGTGCGACCACCACCCACAGAACAATGGGCAAGAGTAGATTTTTTTCAATTCATATATTATTTGTCTCTAGGATCATAATATTCAATTTCTAGAGTTTTTAGTTAAAAAAATTATAAAAATAATATCTCGCGTGTCAAAGGGTGAAGCTCTTCTTCCGTTATTACATGATGTCAGGAAACAACTATAGCCTCAATTAGTTCCCTTTTATTTGATGGGCGCCTTCGGACAAGCGTTTTCAAACGGTGCCACAAATTTTCGATAGGATTGAGGTCAGGACTGTTTCCTGGCTATGACAACAATTTAATGCGCTTTGTACGAAACCACTCTTTCGATATTTTGGCTGTGTGGCAAGGAGCAGAATCTTGCTGAAAAATAAACGAAGCATTGTTGGGAAAGAGATCTCTGATGGAAGGTAGAAGTTTTGGTTCTAGAATAGTGTCAATGTATTTTCTGGCATTCAGTGTCCCATCGATGACATGAAGGCGACCAATACCATGTGCTGACATGCATGACCAAATCATAACACTAACTGAGTTCTTCACAGTTGCTTGAATGCACTCAGGATGTAGCTCTTCTCTTATTCTACGTCTTACATAGTTTTGCCCATCACTACCGAATAACGATATCTTAGTTTCATCACTCTATATAACTTGTGACCACTGATCATCAGTCCAATTAATGTGTTCTTTTTTTTTTTTTTTTGTTGTTGTTGTTGTTGTTGTTGTTGCTGAAAATTAAGATAAGACTTTTTTCGCGGAATTCTACCTCTCAGTCCAACATCTGTTAATCTTCTCCTGATTGTTCTTGAACTGACAGAAACACGAGCATCATTCGGATTACTTCTGATGGCCGCTGATGACATTTTTCTATCTGGGAGACATAGTCTTTTTATTCTTTTGCCATCAATAGATGTGATGCACCTTTTTCGGCTTTTTCCTTCTTTGTTTTTTATTGAATTTGTCTCCTGATATCGCAAACAAAACTTTCAGACTCCAGATGTAGTCACTGAACCACCCACCTGTCTTGCAATTTCAACATAGGAAAGACCACTTTCTCGTAATGTAATTGCAGTGTATAAGAAACAGGTCCTCTTTCTACAGAACAAAGCAAAATAATGAATTGTTTCAAGTGTAAACATGATGTCAGCTTCTACTGGCAGTTACTAACGTTTGATTGGTTCTCAGTGTTGTGTAATTTGAAGGAAAAGGCTAGAGGGCGCTGTTCATGTTGAAGGCGGCGGCCTAAAAATACGCTCTGTATATAGTGAACATAAAATATTGTTTAAAATGGAAAAGTGTTAAAATTAGTAAACTCACTGAACCACCATCATCTCATTTGAAAATGCACAATTTTATTAGATGGTGCATCGGCTGGGAATTAAGGCTTTGTGAAGATTTTTGGTGTTTGATCTAAATGTTCCGATTTGAATTTAACAATGGATGTTTCATATTCAAGGGACAATGGAATTCCAAATAAAGGTAGGAAAATCTTAAATTATTTAGTGATTATTTGTAGTAAATTAGTAAGTATTTATTATTGCTGTCGTGGGTGTATTTAAATTAAACAAAATGGAAGATAAGTTGAAACGTAAACGTTCCACATTGAGATTGACTGTTACTAGGTTAATTAAAGTGATTGAAGATAAATTAAAAATTGAAGGGGAGGAAAATTCGATTAAAGAATTACAGGAATTGTTTGAATTATTAACCGAAAAGAAAAATAATTTGAGAACGCTTAATGATGAAATACAAGAGTTAATTAATGTTAACTTAATTGAATAACATTATAGTATAAGCGAAGAATACAATGACAAATATATAATTGCTTGTAGTCAAATTAAGCAGTTTCTAGGTGCAGTTACAGCAGTACGACAAGCGAGGAATCCCCAAAGTTCTGATTTAAACCAGGCTAGTGGTAATGGAATTTTGCATGTAAGTTCCAGTTCTAGTTGGAGTAGTACACTGAAATTACCCAAATTAATGATTGATAAATTTTGGGAAGACCCCCAAACAATGGAATTAATTTTGGAATAGTTTCGAAAATTCGATACATAAAAACGAAACGCTTTCAAAAATACAAAAATTTGCATACTTAAAAACATTTTTAACGGAACAAGCTTTGAATGTTGTTTCAGGCTTTGAATTAACAGAAAGTAATTATGATAGTTGTGTAGCATCACTAAAGGACAGATATGGTCGAAAAGACCTGATCATTAATTCATTCATGAATAAAATTCTCAATTTAGAAGCCGTTAAAAATTCTGCTAACGTAAAGGCTTTACGTAAATTATACGACGAATTAGAAGTTTCGATTCGTAATTTGGAAACTTTAGAAGTAACTTCTGGCTCATATGGACATTTACTAATTCCAATATTATTAAAATTGATTCCGGACGATTTAGTTTTGGAATTTAATCGGCAAAGAGGATCGAAAGATAAAGTTGAAGTTTCGGAATTAACGCAATTTATTAAAACGGAAATAGGATGAAGGGAAGTTTCAAATCTAGTATTAAATGAAAGGAAAAATCCTGTGCCTCCGCGAGTCGATCAATCAAAATATGAAACTAGAAAAATATATAAAAAATACACCCACGGCTGCATTTCATACTGCAGTTAACCGAAGAAAATGCATCTTTTGTGATAATTTGCACGAGTCATTTAAATGCGAAGTGAATGTTTCTGATAAATTAAAGAAACTAAGATCCGAAAACCGCTGCTATTCTTGTTTTAAAAAAATTTCATACATCAAAAAAAGTGTAAGAAATAAAACTAAATGTAATAAATGTGGCGGTATGTATCACAATGAATCGATTTGTACTAATAAATCCCCTGTAAACAAAAAGTCGGAACAAGGTTATTCCGAAAATGCAACTGAATCTCTCTCTGACTTTGAATTCTGAGGAAAGAAATAAAGTTCAAAACTTAAAACTGATTGCTTCTGTTCCTCAAGGTGATAATAATAATGACTGAAATGCCAAGGAAATATTATTACAAATTGTACAGTTTATGCTTGTTCTAAGTATAAATCAAACTTAACTAGATTAATTCTTGATCAAGGCAGTCACAGA